TCTATCTGATGTAGGAAAAGACTATGCTATGCAACAAGGAATGCTGATAGAGTTTTCTCTCTCTCCTTTCCTCACTCCCTCAAAATTGTTTAAAATATTTCCTAAGGTTTTAGAACAAGCAACGATCTTAAGATACAGGAATAACATCTGCTCAGTTCTATTCAGCTACAACAAATAGCATCTCCAGGCTTAATCTTTTTCCCATTTCCAGGGTATTTTCGTGATCTGATAATGATGCCACCACTTAAGAAAAGACAGACTTTCAGAAACTCTGAAGAGGCATACTGCTTGCCAAAGTTTAATCATATTAAAGTCAATGGTATCTACTGGGCAGGATAAAACTTACCTTCTCTGTCCTTGAAGGAAACAAAATTTAAAAGGATAAAATGATTAAATGAAAAGGTAAAATATAATGAGTTATGAGCTTTGCAGCCTCACATAGTTGAGCTTTATCTGACTTCTGATATAAAACTCTTCTGCACAGAACAGATCGTTTTCCAAATGAAACTGAATTGCTTCTAGAAGACTATCAACACATACTTAAAAGGAAGGGGGGCAGTGGGAAGAACTGTTTATTACTTGAAAATACTGATCAATTAAAATTGAATTTCTGTTGTTATGAGTAGTAATTAAAATCTGGCTGCTTTTTTTTTTAATTGGATTTTATCATGACAAAATACTTGCTGCCTACTTGATTGTCCAGAATCCACTTTTATTTGATGAGCATGTGTCCAATCTTTACTGAGCCAAAATACAGAACTGCAATAAAATGAGCCTATCTAATTTTTTACAGTATGTATGCGTCAAGAATTGATAATTTAGAGGTTCTTATCTCTCATCTAAAAACATTTTGTCATGAGAATTCTTACCTCCTTTTCTTCCCACATTAAAAATGGGTACAAAACATTGGGTAAGATCGCCCTTTTCTGGTATCAAAGTAGAAACAGAAACTTTGGTATACAGAAAGTTATTGAAAGGCCAACATGACTACTCCTCCTTCAACCTCAAACATTAGGACACATACATCTGTTAATATTTTTCCAAACGCTACAATGTTGTTCACTTTAATGCCCTGATCTGTTAACAGAATTAATTGATACTTTGTTTAACTTTACATTAGCTCCACTCCTTACACTGCCAATTGTTAAGGGTTTTTTTTGACTGAATCATGATGGAAATTTTAAGAAAAGACTAGAGAAACCCTTTACTACAGAAAGTTTCTGAGAAAATTCAGTTGTGATGACTACAGAAAATCTATTTCATTGAATAAATCCTAAGTAAATAATCTACTTCTCACTTCTATCAAGTATATTAACATGATTAGCTATTCCAGTAAAAAAAAGTATTTTTAATAGTACATTTATAATTATTGTTGATGGATGCACCAAACCACTGCTATGGTACAAGGTTAATCTGGATATCTTATATTAGACACTGGGACAATAACCTGTGTGAACTTTAAAAAAAAAATCCAAAAGAAATGCACAGTATAAATATATTCTGTCATACAGAAAATGACATTTTTATATATTGAAGCTCAATCAAATAACATGGCCACTTTCAGGAAAATCACACATTCCAAATACAATTTATTCATATTCAGAAAATGTTGAAAGCAAAAAGACTATTCACTACGATCTACTGAGCTTGAGAGGGAAGGTATTTCTAATGACAGTTCCAAGAAACAGTTCAGGCGGTTGTTTTGGTGGTTTGTTTCTGCTTTCATTTTTATCAGATTTGAATGAAAATTGTTTTTGCTACTTAGGTATAGAAAGCTGCTGTGAATTCAATACCTTCATAGTCCAATTATAAATTTTCATAGAGAACCTTATCTTTACGTTGGCAAATGGAAAAATGAATCAGAGGTCAGACATTTTTCATTTATCTACAGAAACACACAGGTTACTAGACATACCCATCAGGGAGACAGTTTAAAAAGTGATATTTTAAAGACAGTTCCTGGATAAAAATCTTCCGTTTTAAAACTGTTAAACAATATTGTAATGTAAAAGACACATTTATATTTATATTTGATCCATTAAAAGAATACCAAAATGTATAAAAATTACTTCCTAACAACATACTTTTTGTTACACTTGAACAGTTTTAACAAGTTTTTAAAATACAAGACACAGGAAAAAAATCCAATTAATATAGTGGCAAGGAAAACTACTATCTATTTCACAAAGCATCAGCTTGTACAGAAAGTCATCTAGTATCTGACAAGAAAAATATAGTATCTCCCGCTCCACACAAACTTTCCAAATTCTAATCATTTCTAAATAATGAAGGAAAATTATAAGCTTTCAAAACTATTTTCATTATTTTTAGATCAAGCTTGTCCTTCAACTCGTTATCCAAAAATACAACAGATAACATCAAGACAAAAATCTAGCACAACCAGTTTGAACTAGTTTGGTCAACATAAAGCGGAACTTTAAGATAATATATGAATCCCAAAACTAAAATTAGCTGAATGCAGGGATAAATACAGAAAGCAACTCCAACAACCTCAGTAAGAGAGCATATCCACTTCACAGAACAGACTTACTCAAAATTACAGAAATATGGCTTAAAAGCTTCATTCCAAAAATATAATCACATAATCAAAGTAATTTTGGTAATCAAGCAAAGAATCATAAGTGCAGAGCAGAAATTAAAAATTTTAAGAAATGTTAGCAGTACTTCTACAATAAAATGATTCTAAGAACTAGTGTTGTTTAAGGCAAGCAAACAAATGGCTTTTCATCTTTTTTTTTTTTTTTTTTTTTTTTAAGAAATCTAAGGAAGTGAAATGAAGTGAAACTAAAATTATGACAAGAACTAAGCAAATAAATGGAGACGGCAAGAAACAGTTTATGATAAAGACAGAATATTATCCCTCTTAAAGTCCGGTGGCATATTAGACCCTACAGTAGAGAATGAACTACTAACTCTTAGGAAATTCAAAAAGCTGAAGTTGAATCTAAAAATAAAACAACCAAGCTTGGTGAGCTATTCTGTGCCTTCTCTTGAAAACCAGAGTTTAAATGCTAAGATCATTGAAAGTAGTTTGTCGGTACTATATACAAGAAATCCTTGTATTGGCATGTAAATTTGAAATTGGTACTAAGTCTTGGGCATTGGAAATAAAACAATGAGTTAAATTTCATTCAGATATAAAAATTGCAGTTACAAACAATACAAAAACAATGCTTATTAATATCATGGCTGAATAAATTTTACAGAAGCATTATATAAGTAGCTTTATGACTTAAGATTCAGAGGAACATAGATGACTATCAGATAAAATGAAATAGGAATATATTCAATAATTTTTTTTTTTGAAAAAATGTCATATAATGGTCTGCAAAACACTTAAGCTTCTAGCACTTGTAAAAATCAGAGCTTTAAGTTGCAACACTACTGGTCAGTGATATGTTAAATTAATCAGAAGCTTCGTGATCCTGTATTTACCTTCATCTTTTTAAATCCTTAGAATTTGACTTTTTACATACTGACCAAGGCAGCTCCAATGAGATTAAAGCACTGACACATGAACATGTGGGAAGTGTAACAGAGAATGAAAATAACCTACCTGAAGACATCTAGTGGAATAAAAATAAATAAGTATACATGTTGAGTAATACAGCAGTTTAGCAACTAGAATTTAAGATCACCGTTATGGTTATTTTCATTATTTGGTTGTTTGTGTTTGCACTACCAAAGTAGCAGCAGTAGTGTGAATCTGAGTTCATGCTATAGAAAAACAAAACAAGATGGCAAAGACTGAAAAAGGATAAAAGGGATATTTTTAAATGATTTAAAGTAGATTATACTTCAGAAACAAATCTAAGAAATGCACTGTGTATAAAACTAAGTATGGTAAAGACTAACAGAAGCAGTTCTTTTTCTATGCAGTATTCTTCTTTCTGTCACTGTACGGGAAAACTTCACAAGTTTATTATCGCAAAGCAGTAATGAAAAATTTTAAACTTTTATAAACTGTATTTTACAAAGATTATTTACTACATTACCAGCTCTACTTCTGCATAACAAGGTTGACAGATTGAATTATGTCATTTTATGATCTCAGTATGCTGTTATATTCCTGATACAAAGCAGACCAGTAATCGAAACATCATTTTTTTTTGCAAGTCCAATTAAGACACAGAGAAAATAAATTTTCTTTTAAGTTCCAAGATATCAGCCAATCTCTTTTAACTAGTGATTGCCAAAGCTGAACGTGGCTGAACATGCCATACCATATATGCACTGCCTAAGGTTCACAACAATTCATTAGAAAAGTATACATGGTCTTCTTTACCTGCCCTGCCCCAAAGTAGGCAAAGAGTTTCTCCTTGTGAGTTCTGACGAATGTTTGTTAATTTATGAGCAGAAAGGAGCAAGTATGAAAACTCTTTCAAAGACAGCATAATCAGCGTATAATGTCAATTTCAGGAGTGTTCAGTTAGTGGTAACGTTCTAAGAAGCTGATAGAGAACTTAAATTGAAGGAGTAATGAAATACAGGAAAAAGCATTACATAAACTTCTGAACATTCAGCAGGAATCTGACAGATATGATGGAAAATGGCAAATATTTTAATGTGTTTCTTTTGTCAACTTTTCTAACTAAAATGCTTAAGACGAGAAGGTTATAGATCTCAAAGGTTTGTGTAAGTTAAAAAAAATTGCTTTTCACATTTAGAGAGAATATGTTTCTATAAAAAGACAAAATCCATTTATCACTGAGCAGTGGAAACTGTGTGCTATGAAACACTTTATAGTATATTCACTGCAGCTGGGAGTATGATAAAAGAATTATGAAATTTCATTGTTCAAATCAAAGGCAGTAGAATTTTCTAAAACACCAAAAATTCTGTAACAGAATATGCTTGGAATTTGAGACTTCAGACTCTGGCCCAGTGTCATACAGTGCAAAAATCTGTAGTCACAGATTCAGTGAAGTAAGTGAAATTCTCCCCCTTCCCCCAAAATAAAATTAAAAGAATTAACTCACCACTTGTCCGTTCTGAGGATTCTTATGAGCATATGGGGGTCCACGGATGTGATTCCACATCTGACCAGATGTCATAGCAAACACAACACACTAGAAAAACAGAAGACCAATACAATCAGTCATTTACAAAGGCAAATTTTCAGGATCTGACTTGAAATAATCATCTCTTTATGTGTACTTGGAATTGTCACATTTACATACCAATATGGCAAAAAACACTCATGACTGTAGAAGGCATTTATTGCAAATATTCTGAAAACTACAATTCAAGATTTCTGCAACCTTTCATGAAGTTATTTCTGCCTCTACAACAAATCTTTAGCTTAGCAGTCTGGTATAAGGTATATGAAACAACATAAAAACACACCAGAAAAAAATTGAATTACCCATCCATTTAAGAAATTCCCATTGTGTGTCCTAAATGACTGTGATTCATTTTAGTCATGACAAAAAACAACAGTTGTGACAACAGAAAAGGAAATTCCCTTTACTGCAGCTAGATTAGGAATCTATGAAAACTGAAATACTTGCAAATGGTCATACTGCAGAATCTACATTGACAAAAATCATAGTCATAGCAGTAGTCATTATGACAATCTTAAAGAGGAAAGTGTAATAACCTTCTGATTACTAAATTAGAAAAATTGTTATGTTTCTGATAAATATGTTTCTAAATATGTAAATGTTTATGATTTATTAGTATAAATAATCATTTAAAAACTTCAATATATATTATCAATATATATATGTTCAGCTTCCACATATACTCTCATTTTTGCTGTATATGTATATTCTCCCTAGCATAGTACAGTCACATCAATAAGAAGGTGTAAAATTTTTATTTATTTTTACTGGGATGGCTTGCTAAACCAGAGAAGAGAAATTTGTTTTTGTTTTTTTTTAAAAAGGTGCAGAGGAGCTCTTCAGCTTTTCTGGAAATAATATTTAGCAATGCATTTGTGAAATAAATTTAAGCCAGCATAGCTCTTTAGCCCAGTAGGGACTCTCTAGCAATACATTTTGAATCAACTTCAAACAACTTAGGACTGAATCTTGACAGGTTTTATAGAAAAAGATCAGATAGCTATGCCTAATCTATATTACTTTTGAGGATATCTGTAGTGCACAAATTTTGTTTTTCTACTCTCGTTAGGATGAATTAGCTATGACCAACATAATGATGTAGTGTAGGCATGAGATAATAGCAGAGATATCAAAAGCAGTAACACAAGACACAGTACAGAATGGTAGGGAAGGGAGCACATGATGATACTAGTGAAATGAAACAAGACAATGAAATGAGACAAGGAAGCTGGTAAAAACCTGTCCTAGGGGTAACAAAGGGAAAAGATGCATCCTTTTATCCTGTAAATTTTGATTTAAAGTGTAATTGTAGATCACAGAATAAAGGACAAAATTTTGAAGTATCCCCAAATAGTTCCAGGGCAAAGAAGAAACCATTCTTCTCCCAGTGAAGAATTTAGAACACTGAGAACTTACCATAATAATCCCTTTTCCCAGACCAAAGCCAAAAGATCTCAAGTTCCAAAGAAAACTGGAAGACTAACCATGACATTCAGAAAGGAAAGATAATAGGAAGTATGTACATAAAAATTTTAAATGTGTTATTACTACTGACAGTTTGCAATCAGTATAAAGAAAATAGCAAAAATGTTTTGTGGGGTTTTTTTGTTTTTTTTTTGTTTGTTTGTTTGTTTTTTTTTTTATGTAATTACCATATCTGGTTTAATAATAATTCTTAGAATACACTGTTAGATTTCAACTACAACAAGAACAAATTCTTAGTTCTGAATATAAGGTGTGATTCATTTTTTACACAACAGGACTTGGAGTGTAACAGTATTGTAATTAATATGGCAGATGAAAGCATACTGGTAGTGATTATCAGCAAACTGATTATGTTTTAATTATTAATACGCAATAAAGTGAAAAGACTATGCTTCAATTACTGGCAAAGAGAAACATCTTGCAGATCATTTTAGCTGGGAATTTACACTGTAATTTTGGTGATGAATCATATAATAGATAGCTTATGTGAAGGTAAAAGTGTAGAAACTGAAGAGGGTAAGAAAAGTGAGGTGAGAGAGATGAAAACCAGAGAGTTAGGCAGTTGGAAAGTAAAACATCAAAAAAACCAGGTTTTTAATGAAAATGATCATTTTACTTATTCTTAAATTAATGCATTTAATTCACAGTCTCCTGAATCAAATCTGTTTCCGTACATAAACATGAAAAACACTCAGTTTTTATTAATTATACACTTCATAACTAAGAATTCTCTCAAATTACTGAAGCTCTCTAACGTTTGCTGGTATAAATAAATTGCCTCTCAACACAGTAGCATCTAACAAAAAATACCCAGGAGAAAATACTTGGAAGAACCTTTTAATCTACTTTAGATACTTTAGTATTTCCATCATATCCCTAAAGCAAGCATTCGGTATACTACATATAGTACTTGACATTCAAGCTTACTTTGCTCCATTCCATATTCATTTATTGCTATCACTGAGGTACTGTTCCACAGTATTTATAATTGGAATCTATGGACTTCTAGTATTTGTAAAACTTATTTGAAATATACCCCACTATTTTTATAACTGATGCATGTGTTACAGATAGTGTGATATCCTGTGCTTAGCAATCCAAATCCCTAGGTTTCCATATGATCCCATGCTTTGGGATCCAAATTTTCCACAACTCTTATTACTGTGAGTTGATGTTTCTCAGGATCAAACTCACTTCTCTGAATTACTTGCAACATGTGATTAATGACTTCATGTTTACTTTATAGGTTTGTATGGTACTGATTACAATGAAAAAAACTCATATGCAGAGAAATCGTCCCTTTCCAGTGTTCTTGAATTTTGTCAAGGTAGAAAGGATTAAAAGTGTAGAAAGAAGATTAAAGTTGAAGCATTTTCCTCTATGAACTTAAAAGGATTTACAACTCCACTTACCCAGGCAGATTAGAGTCTCTCCTTTAGCAGTTCTACAGATACAATATCACTCACACCTCACCAAGGACAGCCCTTCCATACGCCTGCTCCCCCTTCTTTCTCCTCCTCATACTCCCAGAATATTTTACCAGCTGCATGCCACCTCAATTACCAGGGGAGCTCAGAATTTAGCTATTTTAGGAGCTTCTTGATCCAACTAGCTTGTTCTGCATCTACATGATAATAGCGAAGTGTGGAACAGAATGATCAACAAAAGCAGTACAGAGAGGGAAGGACCAATAATTTGCTTCATCACTATATGATTCCAGGGCAAAATATCCACAAGATGGTTTCAATAGCAATGAAGCACACCTCAACTACACACCTCAACATAAGTACACCATATATATAAACAGGTCTGTATGCTCACGAAATCAGAACAAATTGCAAATGGGTGTCTTTCTCAATGGTTTCACAGTGAAAAATCTCAGGTTTAGTTCTGGTAAGAGGGAATGGGTCTGAATTCACCAGTGGTGTGCCTGTGTGTACCAGAAGTTTCCTAAGAGTAGACACTAGGTAACTAACCATCCAGAGTTCCTCCAGAACCCTGAAGTGCTAGTTAGAGGCAACCTTACAAGTATACGGAGAAAATCTCTCTACCGTTCTCAAACTTTCAAAACTTTGTCAAATGATTTAGGTTTAATGTGTTACTTCTTCAGAGGTATAAGCATTGTTTAACACTATCTGCAGTTTATTTAATAAAATTATTAGAGGCTTAAAAGGCCATTTAAAAATAAAACTTCCTGCTAGCAGGTACAACGCAAAGCAGCTATATCTCTCCACAAGCATAGATCACAAAACATGGCAATAATTTTGTAACACATAAAAAATAATAAAAAAAAAATCTAGATTAATTTATAAATGTAGTTAAATAGAAGCCTAATTTCAAAAATGAGGAGACCCAGGCAGCCAGTTCTGTACCCAGTTTCTATAATTACTCTAGATTTGTACATTTTATCCAACTCACAACTACCGTTCTAAAGAAATTTAATCCCTTCTACCCAGTTTAAATTTGCTTTTGCATTCAATAAAGGCTGCAGGATTTGTACTCAATTTCTGAAGAGCAATCCATCACATCTTAGAATCTCTTGCAAGGCACAGACATTTCAAGGACAGGAACTACAGTATACAAGCAAAGAGAAGGCATTTCTGTATCTTTAAGTGTGATTTGCATCTCTAAAGCTTCTAACTATGGGTAAAAAAAAAAATACTTTAATAACTTGCATTAGTTGCTGGGGTTTTTTGGAGTTCCCACATATAGTAGCCTGATTTTTTTCCTTCTGTATCTTGGAATAAAACAAATTGCTTACCTATCCTCATTTCCAGAAGAAGGTAAAGAAGTTAATAGCAGCCTTCAAGTTTCTTTGGAGCTGTAACTGATGATGAATGTACTATACGATATAAGCACTGTGTAGTGTATTGGTACAGATTATATCTCTCATAATCACTAACTGTTAAGACAACAGTAAATACATGCTTCATCTTCTCATTCAAGTGATTTGACATTCTTTGTCCAGAAGAATCAACTCCTAGGCAGGTGTCTTGGAATCTGAGCACAGACTTTGCCCTCTCAGACACCATAGGCAAAACACACCGAAAATGAAACTGAAAACTACATACAGAAAAGCATGGTGGCTGGTAAATAAACTGTTTTGAAAAGCTCTCCCATTGCTACTTTCTAGTCAATTGAACAAATATTTTCTCAGCATTAGAACCATTGTCTCAAACGTAGCAATTCCTTATCTAAAATGTTAGAAATTTGCTCAGCTTACGCCATCTGACCTTTTACTCCCTGCTTAAGAAATGAAGAGTCTTGACAAGAACCCAAATTGCTTTTTGTTATCAGTATAAAATGAATGACTCTGCAAATATCTAAGGACTGAAGTCCAAATCCCTCCTCATTTTTGCGCTACACATAGAATGAAAAATATCCATGGATGAGTAGTAAGAATTGAATTAAAGTCTAAAATAATACAGGGGATAAATTTTGAGTGTGATTCCAAAAGATATCTTTTTTAATATTAGGTACTCAACCACCAGCTTTTGCCTTTCTAGAAGTCTTCTGGGTAATGTTGCAAAACGCCTGAGGCATACAAGGTACTACTGAGTCTGTGGTGCTTCCACAAGCAGATGAAAACAGCTAATTGCACTGCTACTGCTCAATTTAATGCTGAGGACAAAATTGATTTGAGTCCTCTGTTAACTGGAGCTGGAATCAATGCATGAGTTGAAAGTTCTCTCAATTCTGAGCCTATCAAAACCATAACATGTGCCATCAAAAATGGCATTCCAATTCTTTTCAATTAAAATACTGCTGAAAATATTACTTCTAAGACAACTCATTGCTGTTGATGGTCGTATCAAATATAAATCTAGTCAACACTTCTGGTATTCTTTTTTCTTCTGCTCATAGAGGTGCTTTATAGAGTGAATTTTTTTCTATTTTTTAGGAAGAAATTAAATCATTAAAATCAAACAAAAGCAATTATCCAATATTTAGGAGATTTAAAGCTCTTCAAAAGAACCAAAAAAAAAAAAAAAAAGAACATTTAAAATTTTTAGTAAACAAAGTAATTTTCAGTGGTAGAAAAAAAGTACTAACATAAGACAATCGCAATCACATATCTTAGAATCAATATATTAATGGCTGTCTATTTTCATTTCTATGAATCCTGACTCATTCTAGTCATTTCACAGAACATACAGAGGATCTGAAGTCATCTGTGCAAAGCCTGAAATTTGGACTCCCTGCTGACTCCACCAAAAGAAATTTCAGTGTTAACTTGTATGTCCATATAGATCTGATTAAAACTGAAAGGACTCACAGTAACTGGATAAATTTTGCTCAAATATCACTTTTTGCCATGGGGCTTTGACAACATTGTGAAGGTAAGAGAGTAATGAACATGTTTTTTTTTAAAAATAGCTAAAGTCATGGTTAATTGCTACCTTCTTATTTACTTTCAGATAAGATGTTTTTCTAAAATATCCTTTGAAGTGCAATTCATCTTTAAAATAAACAGATTGTACTGGAAGCAGTATAAGAAACAGCAGTAAATCACATTGATGTCATTTTTATCCCTTTAAACTCTATTATTACCTATTAATGCAATCAGTAGGATGATGAGTAGTGAAAGGCACAAACACTGCGCTGGTTTTTTTTAAAATGTCTGATCACATTTAGACAGTGACTCTCTCCAAAGGAGATTGGTTACTGTAATTAGAAATTTTCTATGCTGTAGTTTACAGTTATGTACAGATGTAAAATGTCAAGCAGCTCCTAGGGATAACAGCAAATATTTTGAGAAATAAATTGATGCATTTACTTCCTTAATTTAGTTCTAAGTTAATTATGTATTCAACTATTTATTTGATGCAGATTGTAATAAAATTATTCTTCATTTGAAGAACTGAGTTTTAACCTCTGCAAGATGGAAAACAACTCCTCCCGCTCCCCCCTTACCAACATAAAGTTTCTGGTCAGAAACACTGATGCATGAAATTGGAATAAAATTGCTGTGTCCACAGACACGGTGCATGGTTAAACACAGGAAATTCTATTGATTACATATTGTTATATGATTTTTGACACAAATATCTATTTTATTATGCTCATTATTGTTTAACACAGGTGACATCCAAATATTCAAGTAAGATTCCAATAGTTGCTATGTATCCTTATCAAAAGCTTTCTGGTATTTTCTGGATTTTATCATTGATAAATTCCAGTAATCTAGACAAGTACATGGAACTAACTATAGGGAACAGACATACTTTGGAAGGAAATTGTGAAAACTTTCTGCTACAGCTCAGTATACTTCAAATGACATTCTGGAACAAAGAACACATTCTGCCCTTGGTTCTCTAAATTGAAAGGAAACTTAAATTCAGTCCTTCAGGTAGTTGATTTGAAATCTTGGATTCAATCCTTGCTTAATGTACGGGGTAAACCAATACGGCACTTAAACAAAAGAATGTATACTATGTACCCACGTGTGATAGAAATAAATGCTATGATAGCATGTGAGTGAACAGCATTATCAGTAACGACTATTCAACAGTGGCATTAAAAAGCCAAATATTAAAGAGTTCTGAACAGTGACTTCGCTTCAAGATCTTGTTAATCATTTAGAGATCAAAATGAATTACAACCTATCAGGTACTAGGTAACTTCTTCCTTGAATTGATGTAATAAAAGTTGTCAGTGAGCTCATCAGCTGAGTGTCATAAGAAGGTAGCGTTTTGTCTTGTATTGCTCAATCACAGGAGAAGAAACCACAAACCACAGAATCTTTGGAGTAGGGAGGGACCTCTGAAGATCATCCAGTTCAACTTCCCTGCTGAAGCAGGTTCTCTACAGTAGGTTACACAGAAAACTGTCCAGGTAGGTTTTAAATATCTCCAGAGGAGACTACAGCCTGTAGCTTGTTCCAGTACTCAGTCACACTCAACCTGAAGATTTTCTTTCTCATTTTCATTTGGAACTTTGTTTCAGTTTATGGCCAATGCACATTTAAACTTAATTCTTTATTTATGGCCGTAATGGTTTAGTTGACTTTTTATAACAATTCATTGGCTAGATTAAAATTCCCTCAGTTAGCTCTATAAAATTCTTCATGCAGGTTAACAGTGTATTGTTAAGGACAGTACTAGTGAATCCACCATGCAAGAATTCCATCTTCATGTTTTTTTGTTCTTGTTTCATTTTCTTACAAATGTATAAAATCTTTGTTAATTTTCTTAACCTTTCATTACTCTAAAGCAATATTCATCAATATCCACAGAGTCTACCATAACATTACTGCTTTTGCAAAGAGAATGTTGAATGATAACAACAAACATCAGTAATACTTTCTATTAGACATATTTTTCTCCTGAAGTTCAAACAACAATCTGCAGCTAACAACTGAAGAAAAACATTTATTTTCAGTAAATGATTCCTAGTAACTGATGATCACTGCTGACAAGAGTTAGCTTCAAGATTAAGATTGCGAATCTTCATCTGTTAGTACCACCCTGATGTATGTACTGACAGATTTTACGCTGCTGTGCAAGTAACAAAATATGTTAAAACAGGAAACTAATTCAAAGCACATACATATGGAAAAAGTGCATACCAGAGCTGCCATAGCCCAGCCAGTTTTGTTGTAGATGAATTCTAAATTATTTCTTCTTAGATATAACAATCCACCAACAAGAGATACCAGAAGAGCCAGAGCAATTGTACCAGAGTAGTTTGGAGGCCTGAACACTCTAATCTGAAAAAGATAAATGCAAACATACAGATCACAAAGAAATTCGTACACAGAGAATACCTTCATTACAGACAAACAATGAACATCTGAAGTCTGGTGTTAACAAACGCTAATCACTGAATGTATCCATGAATAAGAAGAAACAGTACTAGCTTCAGTAATAGGAAAACAGTTTTTAAGCACTAATGATTTGCTACTAATCTGAAAACTTAAATACACAATATTTCCATTCTTAACTCTTAAGAAAATTAAACTGACATAAAAAACATAAAAAAAATATGTATATATATAATATACTGTAATAATTATAATTTTAAACAGATATGCATGTTGTGTCTGAATTAGGAGCAGCTGCTTTGGATTTATTTATTTTGTATGTTTTATTGCAAGCACATACTACTTATTAAGAACTAATTATCACAATATCACCACTTCATCTAGAAAAGACCACATATAATTTACAAAGAAGCACAATCTTCAAACTGCAGCTACCATGACTACTACTTTTTTCCTTTTATATATATATATATTTTTTTAATGCTGTCAAGATTCCACGTTCAAGGGGAAAACAGGTATTAAGGAGAGATGACATTTATCATCCACTTGTCTCAAACTACCAAGGTACATACATTTGGCTCCAACTTTTAAAATTGTTGACTTACATGAACATCTGTTCTGTCAGCTATCCATTTCGCTAGCTGTTCAGCCGCAAATCCGATTCTCTGCAGGTCAAATGTGTCAGCTCTCTTGGGTTTACCTTTTGGAGGAAAATGCATGAAAGTCGGAGCAGAGTTCATATTAAGCTATAAAACCAGGAAAAATAGCAAAAAAAGTTAGTAACTTCATACCTAAAAATGTTTATTTTTTATGTACCAGACAACATAAGCATAATTAGTGTGAAAAACAGTATTTGCCTTCCCAAATAATAAGTTTTTGCTTTTTTTGTTTGTTTGTTTTTAGTACATCTTTATGCACAGTCCTGTAAAAAGAGTGCTCAGAGCATTTCTTGCTATTTTCTTCTGGTAGAGCCTTTGGGATGTTTCACGGTTCAGAGTATTGCACCTGCAAGCTTTTCTGAGTATGAGTATCTTATGCTTTATAGTTCCCACGCACTATAGGAGCTTCCCTGTAATTAGTAAAACAGAGACCTCATCTCCCTCCAATCAATTAAAGAATATTATGTAGAAATTCAAAGGAAAACATGTTTAAAAGAGATTGACATTGTTTCTCTTCCCTAGCTGTCACCAATCCAAAGTTATCTAGACTAAACTACTCATCTACACCTCCACCGGCTTGATGACAGACAACCCAATAATGATTAGTCTTGTTTGAATTCCAAATGGCTTACATAACTGCCTTAGGTAACATAACTTTCTCTAGGCATCACACAAATGTTAAGTCACATGCTGATGTCACTGGAACTACTCACTGTGTATCAATTTTGGACATTTGTTTAAATATACATCAATAGATTTCAGATCTCTTATAATTAAAATAAATAAAAGCCAGTGTATGCTTCACTGTGTTCTGCAGCTATATTCGTACAAGGGGAAAAAAAAAAACTCAAATAAGATAAACAAATAGATTTATATTCTCATCTAGCTTTGCTAGATGACACAGGATGTTATAGTTTTACTATATAACATTCCTCCACATTTAGTCCGTCTCGGAGCAAAAAAAAAAAAAAAAAGCCACTTGAGAAAAATATTAAAGTTAGATAAAATGATGCAATAAGAAGATCTTTGAATAACAAATGAAGAACAATCTTGTTTGTTTCATTCCTACAAAATGACTTCTATCACATTACCAAAACATTATCTAATCAAGTACAGAACTGATTCTATCATTAGAAATTACCTGATATTTAAATATTTTTCATCTAAGTAAAAAACAGCCAACTTCCTTAGTGAACTAATATCTAAATAAAAATATCCATAGAAAGGATAAGAGAGCTGTTGTGAAATACAAAATATTGTGTAAAAATAAGATTTAAAAACTAGAGAGAGACAGAAACCTTCTGACATCATTGTACAGGGCCTCGGGAAAGCAGGTTTGCAGATGTTTTGTCATTTCTCTACAAATGGGATAAAATCAAAAAGCCACTCTTTTTTTAACCTACTGCTAGTAGGTTTTTTTTTGTTGTTCATTTGCCCCCTCCCCCCCCCCCTTTTTTTTTTTTTGCTCCGGCACCACTATAGCAGGCATCACTATATCAGTACTGCTTTGCATACATATGCACAAGGTCAGAATTATTCCAAAATTCATGTTAAAAGTCATTGGTAATTGGTTCTCTTGTGCTTAACACTGAATTTCTCAGAAGCAGACGTAAAACTTACACATTTTATCTAATTTGGCATAACTTTTATGTGACTTTAAATGCACATAATCTGAAATAAACTCTAGCTGTTCTCTTCTACGTAAGGAAAAAGTTGGACCACACTATTCTGATACACACCGGTGACTTAAGGAAAGATTAAACAATATATTTTCTTCTTTTGGAAGCAAAAGTATTTAGGAAATACAATAATTAAACTTTCAAAAACATTAAATTTTTGAAAATTAAATATTAGAGATTTTCCCTGAAAACTTTATTCAAAATAGAGAGCTTCAAAACTCAGTACTCTTCTTAATCTCCACTTTTTTGCCTCAGTCAACAGATAAATATCAAACAGAATGTCACAGCAGAAATTAGCAGCATTTTCCAGGAATGTGTTTTTTCTTGACTACTCAATTTAAGAGGGAACTTCAGACTATTCTCCAGGAACTGATTCCGCACTCTTCACAGTCAGTACAGAAAATCAGAAGTCTATTTTATTTTGCCTTAAGAACTTCCAGTCAAAGAGTTCTAAATTTGAAGAATATTTTCTCATATGAAATGAACTAAAAGTTTTAAAATACTTTTTTCTCTAAAGGAAATTTTTAAATACAAATGTTTTTTGTATTACATTTATGCCTAGAACACATTAACAATGGACTGATGAAGTTTTCCATATGTATCAGTTAATTTATAAATAAACATTATGAATCATGCTTGGAAAATACCAAAAGTGTCTACTTGCATAAGCAGCCCTTGTTAAAGTCATAGAAATTCCAGCATCTGTTATTTGTAACTAGAATGAATTTACACACGAAGTGCATACAGAGGTATGTATCTAAGGAAATAATTGTTTTCTAGTGTCCATTCATTAGTAAATAGTATTAAGAATGTTTTACAATATGCAGCATTTACCTGTTGAAAAACATCCGCCCCTTCATCATAATCAACTATTGTGAAAAACAGCTTGTTTGAAAAAGCAGACGAATAGCGCCATGAATTAGCCAGAACTTGATATTCTTCATTAGCTTGCCTAAAAGAAACAAGCATACATCCATGTGGATTCACTGGCAAAAGAGACACTCCATCCAGCTGCAGCAGTTAAATTAATTACTCTTGCAATATCACTCTCAACATCCACGTTATCAATTTTAAAAGAAGTCTGAGCTCATTATGCATCTCTGCTTCATACTTGCCTTCTCTAAAATTACAAATGTTTTAAGTCAAACTAAAAGCAGAAACATTTCAGATGTTAATCTTTTTCACATTTAAAAGCCTCGGAAAACACAAAAACCTCAGGAGTGGCCCTAGTAGCAAGCATCACCGAGATCTGCAAGCACATCTATGCATGGAGACACATGGTCCTCAAGTACAGTACCAGAATTTACTTGAGGAAGAGGATATGGGAATACTGAAACTAGTGGAAATATCATGAAGAAATGTGACTGCAGTATTCTTTCAAAAATAGCAAATGCATAGAAAAAGCTCTTTTCACTAAATTTCAAAACTTCTATTCACTATGCCAAAAAAACTGTTAAACACTGGGGAAGCAATTAAACTGACAGGATGCTTGTAAGTAACAGAAAAATGCTCAAGATTATTTCTATAAAACATGTTTTGGAAGTGATAAAGGATAGTTTTCCACAATGTAACAGCATTACATAATGCTTTCCACCATCATTACAAAGTCATTTTTATTACTACTTGTATTTGTAAGAAAGGCTTCTATTGGCTTTTGTCACAGCTCTGTATTCAAGGTTGTTCCTGTTTTGGTTTGGTTGCTTCATTTGATTTAAACCTGGTCATGTCTTCACTGAGAAGAAAGTAAAAGAAACACTGGGAATCCTTACCCACAGAGAAGAGCTACAAAACAACAGACAGAAACATAAAACAAATTCTTCAACAGGATAAATCCATATCAACAAATAATTCAAAAAAAAAGCAAAGGAAAACAACCTGGAGAGATCCCTACAATACTTTCATCTTTACATATACTCCTTCACTAACTACTTCCATTTAAGTGATTAATCACATTAATAGCATCTGTTGTAGACCTCAAACCAACACTCCAATATTTGGCAACGTTTATTTGCATACAGTTAGATGCAAAAGCAGTATTAAGGTATTCTGCAGCTTTTCTCAAAATGCTATTCTATAGCAATATTTTCCACGTGTATGATGGCAAAGAATACCTTTTAATTAAAAACTGTAGCTTCAAGACAGAAACTCTGCACTGAACACTAAAATATCATTTTTTTGAGAGTGAAGAGGAAGAAGACTATAGGTGTTGTAAAAAAATACCTCTCACTCCCATTTCTTCTTAACTGAGACCAGCCTCAGGCATGATATATATTACACACAACTCCAGTGGAATTGTCTTGTATTTAGAAATAAATTTTTGTTGTATAAAATGTATCATGAAAAAAATCTCTACCCCTTAAAAAATAAATCTTACAAAACATAACTCAACTTTCACACTTACTGACTGAATACAACTTGCAACTTAAAACAATTATTCAACAGGTTAAATTTGCAATTACAATAATGGATTTTGTGTTGAATTGGTTGCTTCTAGAACCACATATCAACATTAAGCAGACATGTTCACTGTCATCCTGAAGAGGGCAGTCAGACAACATCAAAGGAATTCTGTAAAATCAAGTAGTATCTGTAGGGCATTGTTCCGTTAAACCTGCTATATTAAAGCAGGACCATTTTCATTATAAGAACAAGATAAAAATCACTTCATCTTCATGCTAGTATTCTTCTTAGTCTACTTTTCAATTGTGAAGAAACTTTTTCTGGGAAATCTGGATACTCCAGTTATGCCTCTACTGTTTGGCAAAAGCCTCTTGTTCCCCTTGATCTCTACGTATTTTTGCATCTTTATGTTAAACTATTTTGAAAAATATATGATTGGTAGAATACACCTTCAGAAAGTAATATTTTGCAAAAAGTTTTCTTAAATTTACAATAAGAGCATACAAATGTTTTATAACAAAGCATGATAACTGAAGACAGCAAAGCATTCTGCAGTTCACCCTCATAGCTGCTCTTAAAGAGCATGGAAGGGGGAGACTGCAAGTAGGAGTGGTAAGAATACAAAGTTATGGAATTACTACTGGAGAACATCCTACAATTACTATATTAAATTACAAAAACTACATCCTCTGTATCACTTCCAAGAGATATACTGCTGATGCAACAAATTGCATTACTAATTTTTGAAGTGTTTGTTATTCCTTTTTAAATGCAATATTAGTGTAAGCCCTTGAATATAAAACATTCAACCTCCAATTAACACCAGTTAATATCAACTCCATCACCATTTATCTACTTGTCTACCCCAACCATTAGTTAATAACAGATCTATCATTTGTTTACATTAAGTAACATCAATTGTATAAAATTATTATAATAGTATGAAATTATTCTAGTATGAAATTATTATCATTATAAGTGTGAAACACTTCATACATTCATAGTATGAAATTATTATCATTATAAATTACATAAAATACTCTACAGACATACAGCAAGACCACACTTGGGATGAACTCATCAGAATAATGTTAGCTCTGTTCTGTTATGTTTGACTGGATTTTTGTTAGGGAAGATTTAAATGACATTGCTGCTAGTCACTTCTTAATATTGTAATAATGGGTAGCAACTTAGAAACTAGCAATGCCAGCAGTAATACTATCAAGCTTTTAGAAAATAGCTAACAGATCAAAATGAAATTTTTCTACTAGGTTTTCCTGGAATATTCAACACACTGAAAAGAAAGATGCTAAGCAAACGCTCTACAAAATTTCTTATGTTACATTCATTAAGTACTGTTGTATTACACTCATTAGATATTAGAAGTTTTATTTAGGAAGATTCGTTATGTAGGTGTCTATGGCAGATAATGACATTTGTATCATTTGAGTTATATTAAATTTGATTAATTTTACTCAATTAGCCCAGCACTATAGTATGGAAAGCACAAAGGGAATGTTCTTGAAGTGTGGAATTATTTGCCAAAGAAAGCAGAAGAAACATTATTTTTTGGCACACTATGGACTGTAAAAAAACATTAAGGAATGTACAATTGCCAAAGAATGGACTAGCAGGTGACCTACCAGTTCCTACCCATCTGCTTAAGTAAACTGTGATCAATACAGTAATTTAACTCCAAAGCAACTCTTGTATATTATTTCGAATAGCTTTCACTAAAAGAGAGGAAGATGCTAAAGACATACTTTAACTACTGCTAGTTAGTATAAAGATAACAAATTCAGGATGTTTATTTGCTTCTATGAAAGCATGAAAGAACCTATCCCTACATCCAGAATATTCCCCACACAGCACAAAATGATACAGTATGAATAGTAGTTAAAAGCTGTACTATGTCATCTAAATATTAGTAATAACAGAAAGCTAGTTTAAATCCATGCTGTTCTATATTCAGCATTCCAATAGATCCAATATTCTGCAGATAAAAGGATACACCAAAATCATATTTTATAGAATCTGAGAAGTGGAACGCAAAAACAACAACAACGCTAAGGATCCCCTCTCAAAAATAAGTAGTATCCTGGAAAACAGGACTCACCCATACATACCTCTAGTGATAGAACAAGGGGAAATGGTTTTAAACTAAAAGAAGGGAGATTTACACTAAGAGTTTAGATATTACTCAGAAGGCAGTAAGGCACTGGAACAGGTTGCCCAGTAAACGCTGGATGCCCCATCTCTGGAAGCATTCAAGGCTAGGTTAGATGAGGCTCTGAGCAGCCTGATCTAATGGGTGGCAATCCTGCCCACAGCAGAGAGATGAAGTAGATGATCTTTAATGTCCCTTCCAATCCAAGCTATTCTATATGATTCTATCAAGATTCTAAATTGTACTAGAAAAACAAACGTACATAGAACTTTCAGTGACTCCTTCCATGCCCCCTGTTCCTTTTCTGAACAAGAGTTTAAAATATAATTCTCTCTCAGTACAGCTAAGACACATGGCAATGATTTTCTCACTATTTGCTATTTTGCTCTTGATCAATCAGCAGAACACTGAGAGGCAGATGGAGAGAACCTCTCTTTTTCTTTTTAGTAACATCTCCTTGACCAACATTTTCTTTTTTTTTTAGTTTTTAGTTTTAACTGCTGACTTGATTGGCTACTTGAAAACAGTACTCTGATATTTTCTTGAACAGTGAGACTAATAGATTTCCTTTCTTTTCTACATAAAAAGAACAAAACCTCTTAGATGTCTCTTGCTGATAAGATGAACAATGATAAAAATATGCGGCCTCTGTTCTTTTGTATACTTTGTCATTTCCTTCTGCACATTATAAGTCAACAGCAGATGACAACTTAATTTAAGAATCCTTTATGAAACACACAATAAATTAAGCTTAGCACCCAAATACACACAAAATACACACTGAATTATAGCTTACCTATTGCAATTCTGAAACAAAAAAAAAAAAAAAAAAAAAAAATGAGTTGGAGACCACTCTGCATCAGGCTTTCTGCAGTAGTTACAAGCTTGCCCCAAAAGATACAAATAATCAATTCTTACATAATTCAGCCTAGTCACTCAAAATGTAACAAGTCTTTAAAGGATGTGCCACACCTGCAAAACATCGATTATACAGTTTTATAAATTACATAAAAATACATTTATGTATTTCTACGCTCACACACCTATTTATAGATACATATACAACTTCATTTAATGGGTGTAAACACTGCACCTTTCAGTGCAATGCTACTTACAAAGTTTTTAAAAACACAATAGTCCGGTCAACGCACGAAGGAAAAAAAAATCACTGGGTACACAAGCTTCTCTCCATTACCAGTCACTCCAGGCTCCTTCTTCCTAAGCACAACCACCAGAAAACTGTTCGGGAAATGTTTCATTCAGATGATCAGCAAATCAATCTGTGTTTCAAAGATGACAAACTTGCTGTTTGTTACCTTTTCAGAAATACCTGCAAGTTAATCTGTTTTGGACATAGAATAAATCAATACTGCAGACTTATAATTCCTAACTTTTAAATGCACGTATTTAAAATATTTTAAAAGAGACAAATGAAAAAATTATAAGCAAATCAAGAAAAATTTTGTAAAGAGAAAGCATTAAATGCAACAATATGATGTGTATCAGGTACAAAGAAGCCAAGCACTGCTTGAATATTTAAGCTTCATAAAATTGACAAGCTAAGAAAGAATCATTCAATATATATATATTTTTTCCATTTGACCCTTCCTTAAGCTGATGCATCACATCATGTACTTATTTCCTGCAGGAATGAAAAATGCTTCTCCTTCCACTAGTAGTAAAGATCTAAGTACTAAGATGTTAAGTAACTTTTGCTACAGAACAGCTATAAAATATGCATTATGGTTGGATTTTAATGAAAAAGATCAGCTACTTTGACTGAAAGGTTTGGATGAAACTTGTATATAAAAATGAACATTAGAAGTCCAAAGGATTCTTTCGTATGCAGCACTTTAGGTTGGTATTGTTTCTGTGTGCTTTCACACACCTATTACGTGACCGATGAGACAATGTCTTCTCTTCTGTACACAGAAAAATAACTTTTATTTTCTGAGACAAAAAGGGTAATTTCCCCACATTCAGGTTCTTAATATACAGATATAAAACCAAAGAGTTTTAAGATTCATTCAACGAAGTTTCATCTAAAAACAGAGGAACATCTCTGGTGTTTAAAAGGAAGGAAAAACACCTTCCTTAATACCTTTAAGACAATGACCAAACTACAACACTTCAGCAAGGGACAGACAGCAATCCTTAGCCTGGTAGAGAACATGATCACCAAACTGATTTTACATTCACTCTCAAAGGGTGCCGAAGGTGATTCTAACTTCTGTGATGAAAGAAGCTACCTCTCCATCACAGTCGCACAATAGCACAGTCATTCGAAATACTTGCAAGATAAGTCATATAGATTTTACTCTAAGCCTGGGCTCATTCTGACTTCATTCATTTGGCTATATTTAGAAATTTTAATCAGGTATATGAAGGTATACCTGGGTATAGGTTATTTTAACACAATAGGATACAAAATCTCTTATGGTTTCAGATGTGCAGATCTGCAGTGGCCTGCTCTGATGATCAGCTTCCACTGCTCTTCTCCAAAACAGGAGCACATCATCCACCACTGCTCCCCTATTTGTTATTAATCTTAATTTTCTTTTTCTATTATTCTGTATTATTCATACTTAGCTTCTGATGTACTCCAAGGAGCAGCAGTACACTACATTTTCCTTTCAAAAATATCACTCTTTAGAAAATGGACACTTACATGAGATACTGAAATGTCAAATCTAGCCAAAGAGAAAATACACTACCCCCCCCCCCCCCCCCCTTTTTTTTTTTAGAAAAGGTAATTGAACGGTGCGTAAGCTTAATTTCTAGGGGGAAAATGTACTAATTCTTGAGACAGTTATTCAAAGATTACAGGTTTTATATTTTAAATACAACATTGGTTTTTTTTGTATGCAGTTGTCTCAAAAATATTATGAAGAGGAAGAGTTAACTTAAATCTTGGACAGAAGCATTTTCACAGAACGCTACAGCTTTACTTAAAAATCTATTTTTCCTTTAGGCAAACTGGCTACTGAATAACTAACAATAAAATAACGCATGCGTTTCAGTTCTATATATCCTGTCAGTACTCCTGCACATTAATTAGCCATTGATTTGAAAATGTCGATTTTCCTGATAATGGTTTTATGCGCAATATGATCAACCTCATTAAATTCCTTTTATTCCACATGAAAGAGAGGATCTCACCTCCACATTCATTTAAACAGTCCTAACTGAAAGCAGTAATGTTGATTTTTTTCTCCTATGCTTAAAGATTTTTAGATGCTTTTGTACATAAATGCCTAGACTGGTATATTACAGGATAAAGATTATGAGCAAAATTAACTTCATTAAACAATATACAGATCTAAGCAAAATTAACTTCCTTAATAACAGCAATATTTATGCTGTTTTCACGTCTTGCATAAAAAACTGTGCATTACATAGCAAATGGATTTGCTATTACCATTATGATGATAAATACACTGATCCCTTTTAAAGTTTAACTCCTACACTTTTATCTACCTGTTAAGAAGATAAGTAGCAATTTAAAATATGGTAAACTTTCAACACCCATTTCATCTCCTAAAGCTGAACTCTGGCAACACAAAGAACAATAGCCACACTGCATAGGAAGTGGTAAATAATATTCCTTTGACTTAGGAATGTTGGACAGCTTCAGTACCTACACCTTCTCCTTGAGAGTTCAGAGTTGATGGTGAACTCGCAGGAATGCAATCAAAACCAATTAAAAAAAAAAATCTATGACAAAGTTCAAGAAAAAATATATGGAACTACAGGTTTACATCTTACAACCCTACTCAAGTTGAAGTTTCTATTGTAAGACTTGCATTCCATCACCTAACAAATCTAACAAGCTACTTACTACACTTATCAACTTTGAATATTGTTTACAGTGCACCTGCTTAAAACCAAGAAATACTTCTTTCCTATAAAGCTTATCTATTTCACAGTTCTGTGCAGCATTTTGCTGAATATGTAGATACTGTCTAGAACACTCAGCAAAATAAACCCACCTATTACTAGACTCAGTAATTTCCAATGCATGTTTTGGCTGAAGAAGGTTTTATTAGCTCAGTTTCTGATTTAGTAAGGTAATTAAATTCATGACTAGCTTTCAGTTCTTTGGCCCCAGTCCCACATCTATCATTAATCATTTTTGGATTAACTCTGTTGAACTAGAAATTTGCACAAAAAGATCTTGTATTAGAAGAATACTACTACTACTTCAATATATATTCTGAAAGAAAGTACCAGCACATATCAAAAGTGCAGTAACAGACAATTCCTCAGAATGTATGTCCTCATGGGAAAATAAGGTTACATTTTAAGAACTGTTCAAATCTGTGAAATCACAGACTCACATCTGTACCCGAGCCCTGAATATCATTTAACAGAAGGAATTAGTTGGATGTCATGTTATTAAATAATAATGATTATTCACTTTATCACAAAACATCTTTGGAGAGACCAAACCATAAAGTAATTTCTTAAACGCGTTGTTTTTTTTTTTTTCTGCAGTATACATTTTATTCAACTGTAATTAAAAAACAGTGAGTAAACTTCTGAAAATTGTCTTATAGATTAAAAAGAAGTTGAAAAAGATGCTGCAAAAAACACATGAGGCTGTTAAACAGTAAATACCCACCCCAAGCAAAGAACAACCCTACTCATACTGAACAATAACTATAGTGTTCACTTGAAAACTGAGGTGAGAAAGATGGGAAAAAATCACTAAGCCATAAATTACCTGCAAACAGAGCACTGCCGCTGTGGCTGGAGAGCAGTGAACATCACTATCACGGAGTAGTTACGAGGTGGAGCCTTCACAAATCTTCGAAATTTGTCTCCATTCATGCGGATGACTGAGCGCCTTGAGCTCCACTCCATTAGCTGTTCCACCTTCTCAGCCAGAAGATTCTGTAATTGAGGAGAGGAATGTTTAAGTTTAAACTTGAAGCATTCTGTGACTACATTCTGGTTTTGCATTCCCTGATCTCCTACTAACTTAAGCTGGAGGTTAGGAGGCAACTCTATAGCACAGCTTATCCTTGCAGGTAGACAAGTAGATCACAAATGTCCTAAAACAACTGTTTGGTCTTTTAAGAGAAATGATACATAAAATGAAATCAGACATACAGCTTGTTACTTAGACAAACGAGTAAAGCAAGTATGACTAAATGTAAGATACCAGGATGGCAGTTAGCTTCCATGTAGCTTTAGAAAATGAAACATTATATCACGTACCCTATTCAGGAAAAATCAACCTAGAGGAAGAAAATGTAACAATGAAAGATAAATCTGCTATGGGAAGAAAAAATAGATGAGAAAACTGGATAATATGATATACAGAAGCTGAGTGCTGCAGGAGGGTTGGAAGGACAGGAAGATAAACAGAAGGGGCATCAAGCAAGAGAGAAACTGAGGTCAGAAAATTGGAAAATGAGAGACCTATGACAAAGCAAGCATGAGTTGGCAGTAGGCAGACAAACTAATGAGGAGCTAGGAAAAAGAGAATGTGATGACAAAGATGAACTCAAATACTGCGCAAGAACTGTCCAAGGAGATTAGGTTAATAAATAGGTTATTAAATAAACAAATGGTAAAATCAGTAAGGTATCTTGATCACCAATATACATACAAGGGCTGCTCCAAAAGTAACACCTCCTATTATGTTGGCCCATGATGTCAGAAGCAGATGTTAGTGGTATGGCAGTAGAGATTGAACATAATCAATATTCTTATTACATTTTGTTGCCATGCAATTGATGGCAACAGAGAGGCAGTTTGACAAAATGGCATCTGACATGGAAGTGCATATGAAGCAAAGGTATGCCGCTGAATTCCCCCATGCAAAAAACCAAACCAAAACAAAAACACCACCAATTAACATTCACCAATGCTTGATGAATGTGTATGGAGACCAAACAGCGGATATGAGCACAGCGAGGCGTTTCAACAGTGGTAGCGATGACATGAAAGACAAGTAAAATTCCAGATGGCCACGCAGATTTTTACAAGCTCTGCATGAAGGCTCTTGTTTATCATTTGTGAAAACTCATAGCTAATGGTGGTGACTATGCTGAAAAATAATGTTCTGTAGCTGAAAATTTGCTCTACCAGTGTTATTGTGCTCTTTGTCTGTTGCCTGTTTCCACAGAAAGCATTACTTCCAGAGTTGACTCGTGTATATGAGTGAAAGACTGAAGTACTAGGGTTACCAGAAAATTACACCGTCTTTCTTATTATCTTATTATCTTATTATCTAATACTTATCCTAAGCATTAGAAAAGATGGCTCTTGCACAGCTCTTTATAAGACACAAACAGAAATCAGAAGTTTCGAATTTAAAAGAAGATCTGATCAGCATAAGTCATAAACCATTTTGAAACAGTTTCTGTCCCTACTAAGCCTAAAAATAATCCTTTGAATTTTCATTGACATTCACTTACTTTGGTTGAGATCTATAACTATCAATCTGAATGGGAGATTACAACTGTATATCAGGAGAATAAAGACTTACTAGTTTTTTGGTAGTTTAACTTCAAAAAGATATTATGAGACCTATTTTAAAAACAAAACAAAATCAAAACAAACAAACAAATCCAACAGAAAGCAGGCTTTTTCTCAGTGCACCAGATTAAAAAAAAAAAAAACTACCAAACTAACCTAGTAAATTTACCACGCTAGGAAGCCAAGCTAGTACTTCAGGAATACGAAGCTATCAGGTACCATTTTACTACTTACTTCATTGGATTCTGAACAATATACTTATTTCAAATATAAAACTATCATTTAAAAGATGGTGGATAACTACATCATAAAGCTTCTTCTATAGACCAGATTACCAAATCTTAGGTCACTGACTGCACTTTATTATCCTAACACGTTTAAAAGCCACTTTTATTCCAGAAAGTCTACTCTTACAGTATTATTAATAGGAAAGATCTTCTAAAGTAACTCTGAACTTCACAATCAAATCTGTGGAACGTACTATATTTTAAGGCTTTCTGGTTTATAACACTCTGTAGACAGTTGAAAGTCTGACACTGTTCTGTCATTTACAAGATCTTCACACAATGAATGCTGCTCATCTCATTCAATAATAAAAGAAACACATCTAGTATTAAATGAGCTTCTGCTGTAGTGATGTGTTTTACTTTGAAGATGAGTATCAATTTTCAAGAAATATGGCAGATTTCAGCATTACAACTGTTTTAAATTAGTATCAAAAAGGTAACCACTTCTTAGTCAGTACGGTCTGAAAATTAGCAGCCTATTCAAAGGGAAATAAATGTATGTTTTAAATGCTGAAGATAGCAGGCTGGATTTAGAGATTTCACAATCAAGAATGTATTTTAAATATTTTTCTAAGAAAATTGAGTTTTTAAAATAAACTTGTATAAAAATAAGAGAAAATAACTGTCGAACAAAGGCATGACTAAGTTGTATCTCCAGAAAAAAAAAAACTTCTGTATAAAATAACAGGTGAAAAGAGAAGGAAAAAAAAAAATTGATAGGAAAAAAAGTCTATTGATACACAGGAAGGCACTGTTAGAAAATAAAATGAAGGTGATCAATCTAAAATTATTTTCGCACTGAAAATAGATATCCTTCAGCATAATTCTTTCCCCAGTTACCATCAAACCACACAAGTATAAAAACTGTCAACCAAGTGAATCACCCTGAGGCTTCCAAACTTCTGCAGATGTGTTAGTAACTCACCTCTTTGCACCTGGCAAACTTTTCTGTTTGCCAGAATCCTTCACGTCCCCAGATAAAAGAACATGATTAAATCCAATTCACTCGTGAATCTAATGAGATTCAAGAAAGCCACATGCAAAGTGTTGCACTTCGGTTGGAGGCAATTCCACGTAAGTGTACAGACTGGGAGAAAAACTCATTGAGAGCAGCCCTGCTGAGAAGGACTTGGGGGTCCTGATGGATGAAAAGCTGGACACAAGCCAGCAGTGCACACTTGTAGCCCTGAAGGCCAATAGTATCCTGGGCTGCATCAAAAGAGGGTTGGCCAGCAGAGAGAGGGAGGTGATTGTATCTTTCTGCTCTGTCCTTGGAGGCCCCAGCTAGAGAACTGCATTCAGGTCTGGTGCCCCCAGCATAAGAAATATGCAGACCTGTTGAAGCAGGTCCACAAAGGCCACAAAGATTATCAGAAGGCTGGAGCACCTCTTCTGTGAAGAAAGGCTGAAGGAGCTGGTCTTGTCCAGCTTGGAAAAGGGTCTGAGATCTACTGTGGCCTTCCAATACTTGAGAGGAGCTTATAAACAGGAGGGAGTCCAACATTTCACACAGGCAGATACAATAGGACAAGGAAGAATGGCTTTAAACAGAGGAGATTTAGATTAGTTATTAAGAATTTTTTTACTTGGAGGGTGGTGAGGCACAGGCTGCTCAGAGAAGCTGCGGATGCACAATCCCTGGAGATGCTCAAGGCCAGATTGGATGGGGCCATGGGCAGCCTATCTGCTGAGTAACAGCCCTACCTATGACAGGGGATTGGAACTGGATCATCTTTAAGGTCCCTAAGACTCTATAATTCTCTAGACAAAACTCATCTATTGATGACTGAAATATAGGAACAATTGTTACTCATTCTGAAAAAAACACAATTACTCATTTTTGATCTTTTCTGTTCCATACAAATAAAGACCCTGTGTTTGCTTAAGCTTATTTATTTGCAGAGTTGCTATAAATATTTACCAGTTAATTTAC